GCACAAATATTCTTCGTGGAAGATACATTGGAAAGTCATCACAGTGTTATTTCCACTGCATTCACGTCAGATTGGTAAGTTATTCTCCTATTCCAGTCATATTGCACATCTGGATTATAGCAGATATACCGTAATTTCAGTAAGAAACGCCGCGGCGTTTACGTGTTTAAAACTTAAATTTTCAGTGGGTGCGGCGTTTAGGTGCACTAAAAATAAAATATTTCCTATGATAGTCATTGTACATAGTTTGGATGGCCTTGTCATTGTGCATAAACTGGTGCTGTTCCCACACAAAAGACCACTCAGTTGCTTTTTGCGAATGTTATTTTGTTTACATTCTTTCCCTTGAATGGACCTACATGCCTTATTCACCCTAAACGAGATCTCAGAACAATAACATCAGACACCATATAACATAGAATCACACCAGACAAGCTAACATTCAATATGACTTGAGCCTGTGATTGACAAAGTACATCAACTGCACTCTGAAGACATTTTACAAATTCTCCATTAGCAATGGCTTTTCAACTCTTACCAATTTTTTCTGCTTTCATGTAACCAACACAAACACTATTTTCAGATTCTTTATTCGCTGTAGTGAAGAGAGACTGTTGAAAATTTAGATTTGATTTTAATTCACTCACCTTGTCACTTCCAATGCAAACTATTTCTCACTGCGCTCAGTATCATAATGTCTCTTAATGTTGTATTCTTTCAACAAAGCTACACAGTCACTGCAAATAAGGCAAACTGCATTCCCCATATGTACAACAAAAAAATAAAAATCTGACCACTTTTCTTGGAAGAAAAGAAAATTGCATTTTTCCTTCAACTTCTCTTTTTACTTCCTTGTACGAAATAAAAAGGAAGTATTGTAATTGCGGAAAGTTTCAGGCATCATATTTCAACGCAAATATCCATTTTCACTGCTAACGAATGCAATTTAACGTTTTTGCATGACAATTGTACGTAAGGACTCTTTTTCCCCACAAAAATTGTAAAACTAATTTTAAATGAATTCTGAAGAGAATTTTTTGTGGCGTCTGTGCGTACGTACCTACGTATCTCGCATAACTCAAAAACGAGTAGCCTCAGAACGTTGAAATTTTGTATATAGGACTGCTATAACATGTAGACGTGCACCTCGTATTTTGGTTGCAATCGGCCTCACCAAACGTATATAAATATATTTATACATATATCCACTCTGTTACCCGGCTCAGTGATCTCAGTTTCTTTACTCTTATATGTTTGTAAATTGTACATTTTTTGCTTTAAAAATGATTGTATTATGTTGTTTTTATGTTCCGGTTAAGGTTTTTGTGCCTTTAGTAAATCTGTATGCAATATTTTTAGAATTATCAACAATTTTAAAGTTGTCTAAGTGCCGCTAAGCCTTTTTTTTTATGGCGCCCATTGATGTTTACATTTGAAAAAGGAGACTAGTGGATTTGTTGCCAATCTAGAGAAACTTAGCTTCACAACAACAAAGATAACGCATTCATTTATCGTTGCCAATTAAATCATGCTTAATTCTTTCTGGAATTTTTTCGAGGAAATAAGTGTTTAAGATTTACTTCGTAGTTTTTAATATAGATATTTTGTGTTTTTATGTATTTTTGCCTTCTTGCGAAGTAAGAACTGAATTAATTAAATGAGAAATAATCAATCGTCTGTGAAAAACTGTTTCTTTTTTGTTTTGTTTGCTTCATTTCTTTTATACATCATTCTAGCCTTATTATAGTATTTGAATAGAACATGTGGCAACGATTAGATATTTCTATTCTTTAAATGATATAAATTCTGTGCATTATGAGTTATAATATGAACAAAATATATAAGTTAACTGTTATATAATTATTGGATTACATAACAGTTAACTTAGTTTCCGTTATATAACTACGAGGGCCATCCAGGAAGTAGATTACGTTTCCGTCTGTGTCCGCTAGGGGCGGGGCTAGCGCGGCCATCTTGGGGTCAGAGCGTTGCGCAGCTCAGTCTGCATCTAGCCGTGCTAGTGAGAGGTTCGTGCTGTGCTCCGTTCAGATACTGTGACGGTTTGAAATGTCTGCGTTAATTGAAAATCCCGCGAGCTGTGAGGTGCGCTCAGTAATAAGGTTTCTGACTGCAAAAAACTGTAAACCGATAGAAATCTATCGGCAGCTTCGTGAAGTGTATGGGGACAACATTATCACTGAAGGTGGAGTGCGTCAGTGGGTCATAAGATTTCAAAATGGCCGAACCAATGTTCACGACGAAGATCGAAGTGGGAGACCCAGCATAGTGACCGCCGAACTTCTCGAAAAAGTCGATGCTAAAGTCCGTGAAAATCGAAATTTCACAATAACGGAACTTTCTTTGAGTTTTCCACAAATTTCGCGAAGTTTGTTGCACGAAATCATCAGCGAAAAGCTTGGTTACCACAAGTTTTGTGCAAGATGGAAGGCAAGAAGAGGTAACGAAGTGGTTGAAGGCGCAGGCGGCCGAATTTTTCAACGAAGGAATTTCCAAGCTCGTACATCGCTACGATAAATGCCTTAATTTGTATGGTGACTATGTAGAAAAGTAGTATTTGAGTGTGGCTTTCATCTGTATATAATAAAATTTGTTTCCTATACTTTGTTTATTTTTTTATTCCAAAACGTAATCTACTTCTTTCTGGATAGCCCTCGTATTATATAAGTGAGTATATACGTGCGTACGTGCGTACGTACGTATCTCTCATAACTCAAAAACGAGTAGCCTCAGAACATCGAAATTTTATATATAGGACTGCAATAACATGTAGATGTGCACCTCGTAATTATACAATTAAAAATACGAAAACATAATTTATGAAATAAAGAGCAATTATGATCTAAAGGGTAAAATTTAAAAAAGATTGATTTTAACAATCAGCAACTTAACATTTGTTTATTAAACATTTCTTTTAACGCACGCATGTGTAAAGCATACATTACGCATACTCGAAATTAGAAAATTGCAACCAGAAAACTATTTGATGTGTATTCGTGATGTTTATAATGACGAGGAATTTGATTTAAATCATATCAAAGGCGGAGTACATCGAGATAAAATACTACATTTAGTAAGGAGTTATAAGCCAAATAAAATAAAAACATCTACCATGTAGATAAGGATAGGGCTGACAGATCAACTTCCAGTTCATTGTGCACCACGACGCCCCCCCCCAATCCGCAGAGCAGCATGAAATTGATAAACAGATTTCGGAATGGTTAGAGAAACAAATCATTATTCCAAGCTTTTTTGATTATGCAAGTAATATCATGATAAGTAGAAAAAAATGCGATTCATTTAGACTGCCTGGACTTAAACGACACTTAAAATCTGGTGAATCCCTTTCCGAATATTTAATTGCCATGCGTGAAATAGCCAGTCGCAGTTCTGTAGCTGATTCATCAATTCTTGATTATGTAATCAGTGGGATACCGGATCAGAGTAGTAACAAAATTATTTTGTACGAGTATAAAAGTACTTCTGAATTCAAAGAAAAATTTTAAATTTATGAGAAAATCCGCATTTGAGATACTAAGAATAAGGGTTATTCAAGTACTAACACACAAAATAATGCACGCGCTATACCTAATAAGAGTACAGAACCAAGATGTTATAACTGGGGAAGCGTAATGTATGCACATTCTTTACACGCATGCGTAAAGCATACAAAAAGAAAGTTTGTGACTTTGACGTCCGGATTATAGATCATTCCGGATTACGGACTTTGTACTGTATATAACCACTCTTTACTAGGCTCAGTGATCTGTTTCTTTATTCTTATATGTTTGTAAATTGTGCATTTTTTTGGGTTTAAAAATGACTGACTTGTGTTCTTATCTTCCAGTTAAGGTTTTTATGCTTTTAGTGAATCTGTATGTAATATTTTTAGAATTATCAACAATTTAAAAGTTGTTTAGGTGCCGCTAAGCCTAATGGCGGCCAATGCTTATTTACATTTGAAACAGCAGAATAGTAGATTTGTTGCCAATCTAGAGAAATTAATAACAAAGATAACACCTTCTTTTATTATTGCAAATTAAATCATGTTTAATCCATTCTGGAATTTATTCGAGGAAATAAGTATTTAATATTTACTTCATAATTTTCAATACAGACATCTTGAGTTTTAATGTATTTTTGCCTTGTCGCGAAGTGAGAACTCAATTAATTGAATGAGAAATACTTAATCGTCTGTGAAAAACGTTTTTGTTCTTGTTTGCTTAATTTCTTTTATACATTATTTTAGATTTCTTATAGTATTTGAATAGAACATGTGGCAACGATTAGATAATTCTTCAGATGATATAAAATTTGTGCATTCTGAGTTAAAAAATGAATGAAATGCAATGCTGTTAAGTGGATCTAGGGCCAGAGTGTTGGTATAGTAAAATTTTAAAAAGTGCATTTAGTCTATTGTGCTTTATGTGCTATCGACGAAGTAGATTTAATTCAATCCAATAAGTTTAAATGAAATGCAGGAAAAATGGGTATAATTTAACATTCCGTACAAGTTCTAAATCTGTTAAAGATAAAAATTTAACCTTTTTATGGAATTTAGATTTTATGGATAGTCAATTTTTTTAATTTTAATATTACATAAGATAAAGTGAAATTTTTGAAAAATTTATCATTTTCAGAAACTTTTATCTCAAATAATACCAGGCATGTCAATTAAATGTTTTAAATATCAAAAATAAGAAAAAATCATGACAAAAAGCCAACAAGGCAATTTTTCTTGAAATCAAATTTTCTCAAAATTCTTCAAATTCAAATGTGGGAGCCACTAAAATGTCTTCAGCGGGCCACGGGTTGAAGATCCCTAAATTAGATCATTGATTCAGGTTTAAAATTATGAAATATGTTGATATATAGATCTTTCTCTTTGGTGAATTTCTCTTGGTGAACACTGAGCATAATGTTTACAATTTTATATTCAAGTTTCTATGCTATACTTTTTGAAAAAATAATTTTTTTGGTGATTTTATATATAAGAATATTTATTAAACAGTATGATAATTACAGTTTCTTTGTTTGAACACATTAAAATCAAAGAGCATTTTATGTACACATCAATCATTGTTGAGTTTGATTTATAAAATATTTTATGCATACTAGTATTACATAGCAAATTCATTTCTACACAAGGGACAGGTAAAGTTGTTGCTTGTACGAAACCATTTGTACTGTAAAATAAAACAAAGTTATTAATGAGAAAAATTACATAAATACATACAAAAAGTACAATTCACAAAATTCATCAATTTCAACAACAATATTGAATACAGTATACATTAAAGAAGTGAATTATTCACAATATGCTAAAAACTATGCAACAAACAGAAAAATTAGGGCATATGATAAAACTATGATGATGCATAATCATAATTATATGCATATGTTAATAGGTAAATGCATGCAAAACCAAGCCAACATAGAAAATTTTCATAAAACGTTTTAGTCAGGGAAATCTGTTGAAATGAATTCAATTCTGCATGTAGTTCAAAAAAAGTTAATTTAAACAGATCATGAAGGATTTATATGCTTCATCGTTTGATATATAAAATGCATGGTAATATGCTGTCTTGAGATGTGACACCAGTTGGAAGGAATTTCCAAACTAAATTAGCCTAAATATCAACTATATTGAATCATAATTAGCATAAAAAATATTTTACGGATATTTAAATTGGATAATCAAAAATCATTACTGCCTGGAATGTCTGTAGTTGCCATTGACAAGGACAAGCTGACAATACTTCATAGATATCCTCATACGGAAAGGAAGGTTTGGTTTAACTGAGATCACTTTACTTGAACCTATGCCAATGAAGCACTTTTTTTCACCGAATTTCAGTTTTAGATAGTCACTGATTTCTGATCTACACTGATATGAAGAATGACTAACTTAATATATTAGGCCAGTAAAATCTATAAATAATAAAAATTATAGCTTTTCAATGTTTCAGCACAATCTTGTTGGCATGACAGTAAGGCAGTCTGCTATTGTAGTACTTGCCAGCCACACCTACAAATCGAATGCTCAGAACAGATGATCAACCAAATCAGACTTCACGTGGCCCCACAATATACACTGCTCGACATTGAAAATGCAACACCAAGAAGGAGTGGTCAGAAATTTATGCAAATTTTAGAGTAGACGCACATCACTGAGTTACGCAAATGATGTGAAATGCGCAGATCTCGATGCACGTGAAGTAAGATATAAGGGAAGGAACGTGCAGAATTAGCAATATTCGTGTCATTATTTCTGCCAGATGAATTATCGAAGAAAGTTGTTTTTTGTCCTGGAGGATGCGTGTAATAGGAGAGAATGCCAGGCCGCCATCAACGAAGGCACTTCCAGCAGATAGACGATTTTACGAGGGGTATGGTGATCGGACTGAGAAAGGCGGGTTGGTCCTTACATCAAATCGCAGCTTATACCCACATGGATGCAAGTACGGTGCATCAGCTATGGTGAACATGGTTCGAACAAGGAAATGTGGGAAGAAGGAGGGGTGCAGGTGCAGCCAGAGTGACATCATCACGCGTGGATCAACGCATCCGCCGACAAGCTGTGGCGGTTCCACAAGTTTTTTTGCACCACGATTCTGCAGCATGTGCAAGATACCCTGGATGTTTCTGTGTTGACCAGAACCATTTCGCGTCGATTGGTTGAACATGGCCTGCACTCACGGCGTCTGTTAAGAAGACTGCCATTGACCCCACAGCATAGACGCCAATGTTTCGAATAGTGCCGGACTGGAGCGATGTGGAATAGTGCTGGACTGGAGCGATGTGGATGACAGAATGGCAAAACACCGTGTTCTCAGATAAGTCATGCTTCTGTTTATCGAGTGACAGTCGCCGCATACATGTGTGGCGTCGACATGGAGACAGATCTAATCCAGCAGTAACTGTGGAACGCCCCACCGCACGACAACGTGCATAATGGTTTAGGGTGCTATTGCCTACGATTCCAGGTCACCTCTAGGTATTCAGGGCACTATGACAGCCCAACGATACTTGGATAATGTACTGCGGCCGGTGGCAATCCTCTACCTTCAGGGACTGCGTAATGCAATTTATTAGCAGGATAACGACCGACCACACGGTGCTTGCATCTGCCAACATGCTCTTCAAGGTATACAGATGCTTCCCTGGCCACCGTACTCTCCTGACATATCACTAATCAAACACGTGTGGGATGTGATTGGACGCCGTTTGCAGACTCTGCCCCTGCCTCGTTCAGAAGACGAACTGTGGCAAATGGTTGAAAGGGAATGGAGAGCCATCTTCAAGACACCATCCACACTCTTATTGACTCTATGCCTAGACGTGTTTCTTCGTGCATCGCTGTCCACAGTGGTCCTATATCCTACTGAGCCAACCCCATTCTCGCTCTGTATTCTGACTATCATTTTGAAATAAAGATCACTTATTGCTGCTTGCTGTCTCCATCTTTTTTCCAAATTTCATCACTTTCTGACCTTCTTGGTGTTGCATTTTCAATGTCGAGCAGTGTATACCAACGGCTCGAAAGATGAATCAAGTACTGGGTGTGCATTCACACGCTTAAGGTAATGCTCCAATGTTATTACAGAAAGAAAATTCCTTTTACACAAGAACAATATCATCTTTCAGGCAGAATTATGGGCAATAAAAGAATGTCTCAAATACTGCATCAATTCCAATTTTAAGGAAATCAATATTTTCACAGACTCACAATCGGCCATACAAGCCTTAGCCAATCCTCAGTGTAATAAGGAAGACACAAAACCTGTCTTCATCCAACGGCAAGCACATGTCGGCCACTCAGGAAATGAAAGGGCCAACCAGCTTGCCAAAGCAGCAAAAGACCTCACTGCAACAAAAGCTGAGACACCATGACCATCCTTTAACCTTAAAGCAACACTGGAATCCCATCTCCTACTTAAGTAGCAAATTTAATGGCAAGAAAGACAGCAGGGAAGAAGAGCATTCAAATTTACCCCCAAGGTTTGTTGATACAACATTCACATGAATGCACTTATTAACTGGCTAATTTCAGGTCATGGCTCTTTCCCTGCATATTCTATGAAAGGAATATGTGCCTACAGGATAGCTGCCAATGTGAAAAAAGGGGTGATCCAGAACATTATATCTTCAACTGTATCCTGACAAGTCAGTGGCACCTCAAAAGACCCAGTACTGAGATTCTTGCTTTCATGAATTTTGCCTACAAACACCCCCATAGCAATCTTCTAGAGATAACAGAATTTCTTGCAAGTAAAAGCATTGAATTAAGGGCCCCATCATGAGAAGTCCTTACCAAATCTATGTTGTAACTGTATATATGACATAACTCAATGTATGCTCCCTGTATATTTTAAGTCTGTGTATGCTATATGTTTTTTTCCCAGTTCAATTTTAAATAAACACCCACACCTTTGAATGAAATGCACGGTGCACCACATGCGGTTCAGAACCTGAGGCCGTGGCATGAACTAAGTCAGTAAATGCTCCAGGGCATATCTCATCCGATCCTGAATAGAGGTATTCTAGACAGTTAGTGGAATGGGACTACACCATGTCTATGATGGATACCTGGTGTTCTACCCACTTTCTTTTATACCATACCATACCATAGTACTTGGGCTTGGATTTGAATGCTGCAGAAAATATGGACGTTTATTCAATACCTCTGCCAGTAACAGGTGTAACCCTTGCCTCTTGGTGATGATAAAATTTATGGACTTGACATTATAATCAAACAAGTAAGATAACTTACAATTTACAAATGTCTGAGCAAGGACTACTCTCAGTGATATTGCTCATGTTCACACCTTCTTTGCCTAATTTAATCACTGTCCAATTTTGCCTTGCAATTTCAACTCATCTCGTAGACCAGATTCGTATTCTACTATAATCCTACATGATTTCATACACATCCAATCAGATACTTACATACTAATGCAGCAACCTGACCACAATTTGATTTATTTATGAATAAAATGGTAAACGTTGCTCATCAGATGCAATCTGGTTATTACAGTGACTTTTTAAAAAAAGATTGCCAAACTTTCAATATTTTTCATTACATTGTTAACACATCATTACGAATTTTAAATATATATGTAAATAATTTTAGTGAAATTATATATCATATTGTAGTATGTATGAGCTCTGTTTACATTACACTTTACCTCAACCATAGCAACAGCTGACACCAAAGTAAGGCAGAATGTAATCAAACTGAAGATTAGGATCCTAAAACTATATTCATTGCATAGGATGCCATCTAGTGGTCTTTAACCCTTTAAAGGGAACCGCCCTATAAAATATACCAGTTGTTTGTTAATTTTTTAACCTCCTAAAAAATGCTAATTTTTCTACACCAAAAGCTGTAATCGTAAGATTCTAGTGTTTCCATTTGATTCTAAGTGGCAGCATTATCACATGAATGCTCAATATTTTGCAGTTATGAAATTAATATACCTCGTTCCAAAGTATCACATTTGAAGATTCATAAATTCTGTTGGAAGGGAAGAAAAAATTAAAAATCTGAAAATATATGATGTACACATGCTGAATCATATATATTTATTTCATTTCAGTCAGAAGTGATAATTAACCAAAGATTATTTATACTATTTTAAGACCGGAGTATAATATATAACCAGCACCCATGCTGAGGTTCCCTCATTGGCAGCACCAGTCTATTGGTATGTATATTACACATGCCAATAGATGGCAGCACCAGTCCAAAATGTGTTCAAAGTGCTTTGAAAGTCAACAACCCTTACTGAAATGTACAAAATAGTGTTTTGTACTCATTTAGTGAATACTTCATTCAAAAAATGGAATACCATCAAATGTGATGTTGAAGTGCTATTAAGTTTCATTTACAAAGCCAATTTTTTTTCATTAAGTTTTAAAATACTTTTGCATGTATAAAGTAATTGTACTGTTTTAAGATTTATTTAAATCACTAAAAAGTGAATTGTCCCCCCCCCCTCTGGCCAAAATTACAATATTACATATATATATATATACGTATGCATATGTTACCGGAAAAGTTTGAAATCCAGCATTGTATATAATGCCTAAAACTAGCCAGCAATGTATGAAGCGATTCATATTTCATACATTTCCTAGGCATTCAATAGAAAGTCAAATGACAAACTGGCAATGTATGAAATACATTTCTGATTCGTTTCGAAGAACTAGGACATGATGTTTGTAAAAAACAAAATTACATTCATTTATCCTGTTCAAGAAAGCGTCAATACTGTATAGTATTACATCAACGGCGCTGAGTTATTTCCCGTACTTCATAAAAACTCATGTGAGTAATGGGCATGGACGTGATAGAATGTTGAAAGAACTTCGAACAAATACAAAAACGTTAAACGTAATGATATTGAACCGTAAAACCACCTTTGTGAGCAGTCAAAAAAAAAAGCAAAAAGGGCATTGTTGGGAAACATGATTGTTTCTGAATTTATTTTCCATTGTTAGGTAGATCTTACTGATTCCCAATCTCAGCCATATAGAAAATACAAATTTATTATGTTGATCAACATCATCTCATTATCTTTCTTTACATATTTGGAATAACAGGTTTTTAATGCCATTCTTTCATTAATTTTTCAAAATAACATTTGTATTTTGGAGGAATAAAGTCTTTTAAATAATAGCCTTATCATAACTTTTTTTTCATACTTTGTCTAAAGAGTATTTGTCATTCAATAAAATGCCCAGTTATTATATACAATGCCTAGAGAAGGTACGTAATAATTATCATATTTTATACTTTGCCTAAAATTGTATGGCATTATATACAATGCCTAGGCATTCTGCAGAATGCCATCGTTTCATTTACTTTGCCAGTAATATATATATCAAGTGTAACCTGCTTTTATATAATTATCAATACAGAGTTAATTAATACTTAATTGTCATTAATATTGTCAATGTCTCAATAATAAATACACTTGATACAAATGAACTTCATTTGCTGTTAATTTTGGGGAGAAGGGATTAATATGAGTGAGAGAAAAAATGAATCCTGTAACATTAATAATACAGTTTGTAAAATTGTTTAGAGAGAAAAAATTAATTAAGGTATATGTAATCAAAATCTGTCACCATCATCTCTAAACATCAGTTGTTCTAATTATTATTTCTGTAAAAATCTGACAAATCAGATGATGGAACAAGTCATCTTCATTAATAAAATTGAAATAAAAAAATTTATTTTCCTACCATTCTCAATCAGAAGCAGGGGGAAAATGTGTCTTCACTGAGGATTTTCTAATTAAGATTTATGTTCACTTTACACACTGAGAAATCCGTAAGTATCCCAGGCAGCCAACCCATCTCTTAGAATTTAACACTTAGTCAAACTAACAGTATTCTTACCCACTCTCTTGCTTATATAAGTAAAAACTTTGCCTCATTTTAGAGATGAATTGAGGACTATTCTAAGTTTATGTATTTATATCACAGAATTAACATTTTAATTCAGTTTCGCTAAACATTGATATTGATTGAATAGTTGTTGCATAACACTAATGATTACATTTTGTTCAAACAATTCATACATACCAGGCATGCAGAATGGAACTTTTTCCTGCACACATGGCATGAAAGTTTTGGCAGCTTCAGAGAAGAACTATGTAAAATGTAGTAGCAGACCATGCATTCTTCCACTCCTTCAAACTTTTTGTCCAAATTCTTTTTCCAGATAGTTAAACCATCCAAAATAGAACCATTCTGTAAAAGAGAAATGTTTAATTGTACATCTGATAAATATATAAAAGCAAAATGTCAAACACTATTTAAATGTTTTACTTTTTATAAAAATAGAAAATATGAATAAATTCACGTGAACAAAATAAAAAAAAAGTTAATATGTACACCACGACTTATGGAATATTAAATTATACGTATTTTTTGCTGCATTTCATTTAAACTTATTTCCTCGAATTTCATTAGAGATACATTTTTCATTCAAATAAATTCAGTTCTCACTTCTCGGCAAGATAAAAATACATAAAAACTCAAAATATTTTCATTAAAAATTGAATATAGAAAAACAAAAAATACCAAATACAGTTAAAACAATTTAAAAATTTTTTACAATTAAAATTATAGTTTCTATGCAAAAACAAGCAATTCGGTTAGCATGCAAAAAGGCAGATTTTTCGGTGCACAAAACTAAAAGTTTTCCTTTAGTCCCACTCAGCAAATAAAGACACTGAAGGTCCAGAAAGAATTAATTCACTATTCTGCTAAGTTTCAAATGTTAACAAATATGGCTGCTATGGTGAAAAAAAAAAAAGCAGGCTTAGCTGCACTTAAACAACTTTTAGGTTGTTGATAATTCTACAAATATTGCATGCTAAAGCCATAAAAACCTTCACGAGAAGATAAGAATAACATAATCGTTTTTAAAGCAAAAAATGCGCAATTTACCAACATATAAGGAAAAAAACTGAGCTCACCGAGCCGAGTAACAGAAAGTGGGTATATATATATATATATATAACATTTACTACTCCTTTTCTATATATATATTTAGCACGACCCATTGCAACCAAAAAGGGAGGTACGCAACTACATATTATAGCAGTCCTATACGCAAATTTCCAATGTTCTGAGGCTATTTTTTTTATTTATCTGATGTACACACATATATACGTACAGATGCCATGAAAAAATTTCTTCTGAATACATTTCAAATCAGTTTTATAATTCGTTTGGGGAAAAAGAGTTATTTATTCTGTCCATACGTACAGATGCCACGTAGAAACATTGTTAAATTGTATTTGATATGGTCAAAATGGATAGTTTTGTTGAAATAGGGTACCCAGAATTTTTCGTGATTGCAATACTTCCTTTACTTCGTACAAGTAAAAAATCTGATGTGTACACCTCACGACTTCCTTGTATGGAATATTAGATTATATGCATTTTTTTCCTACATTTTATTTAAACTTATTGAATTAAACAGAATCTACTTCACCGACAGCACATAAACCACAATAGAATAAATGCACCCTTTAAAATTCATTATATTTATTTATCATAGTAACAATCTCATTCTTAACAGAGTTTCATCTCATTCACTTATGAACTCAGAATGCATAAAAATTATATCATCTGAAGAATTATCTAATCATTGCCACAAGTTCTACTCAAACACTACAATAAATCTAAAACAATGTATAAAAGAAATTAAACAAATAATAATAATAAAAATTCGGAAAAGCTTTCAGAGTTTACTTTATGCCCAAAGGAGCATTTTTAAAATGTTTTGTGTGTTACCTTTATTTATTAAACATCAAGTTCTTTGCACTTAAACCATAAAATTAAATTCAACAGCAATATTACAAAATAACTTTAAAATGGGCATATCCTTAGAATTTCCATTACACAGTTTCATGTGTTGAAAATAAAATTGTCCCACCCCCGGTACAGTGTTGTCATTGCTTGCTTTGAAATAGTCGAGTTTGTTAACCCATTAGCCGCTGGTGTTGCATTGACGCAATGGTCAAAATAAATGCATATATAAATATAACTACCTAAGATATTTTATACCAGCAGATGATTTTGTGTAGGGAATATTATGAAGATTATTTCTGTAAAAAAAAATATTGTCTCTTCAAACAATCATTTTCTTTATAATAATTAATCTCATACTTTAAGCAAAATTTTCGACCAGGTATTTTTGCTGAAAATATTTAACGAAAGAATCGCCGTCTTTATTAGTGATCTATTTTTAGTCAAGGTCACCGTTTATCAGAACATTACATTACTCAGATGTTTATATTTGTGTTGGGAAGGAAGGGAAAACAGGTGTTGCTCTGACGTAACGTCAGCAGGAAACAAGTAGTCAATTTCTTTTTTTCACTCATTCCTTTCTATGTTTTGGTTGTTAAAAAATGTCTGGAACGAGGTATCTTACATTAGAAGAAGCCCTTCAAAGATGTTTTGATGAAGAAACAGATGATGATAATGTTATAATAATGACCAGAATGGAACTGATATTGTTGTTCTTCCCTCAGAAATTGCAGAAGCTAGTGATTAAGAAGAAAGGAATGGCAATGTTTTAAATAATGATAATGATATTTTACCAAATGATACTGCTGGAGAAGTTGAAATTCACGTAAGAACTAAGTTTCAGCCTTCTAAAAGCAGTTACAGTCATACTAAAAAGTTTAAAAAGCAGAAGACTGAAATCTTGAAGTGGATAAAAAAGGAACTGTTAGTTATGTCTCAAGGAGAACATGAAGAAGGAGATAGAAGAGAAATTATAAAAGACAAAATACAAGGTAAAACTAGTGCACAGATTTTCAATTTTCTTTTTGGTTTAGACATTTACTCTCTTTCATTGAACAGACAAATATATATGCTCAGCAAAAAAAAAAAAAAAAAAAAAAAAAAATCCAAAATTTATTGCATCTGAAGCCTATATGAGAAGATTTATTGGAATATTATTGCTTACAGGATATCATTCTTTACCTCAAGAAAAAATGTATTGGTCTTTTGATAAGGACATTTCTAATCGATATCACGTTTGCAGTACAGGAATATGAAGCAGAATTTGCATTTGACACTAGTCAAATTGACAATACTGATAAATTATATGAGATGATACCGTATCTAAATTTACTAAATATCACCACTTTTTACTACTTTAAATGTAAAGTCTCTTTTAGATTTCAGACGTGAGAATGCATTATTCTTTTTGCAAACTCATATTGAGAGTGTAGAATTAGCCAGAAATATATCAGCAGCAGGAAGACCTAGTAAATTCAGCATTCAAAAACCAATGCATGGAGGTGGTAGACATTTTATCGTAAAGTCCGTTGATAACAAAAGACTTTGATGTAAAGAGTATCATAGCCAGATTGTTTATAGATGCAAAGTATGCAATGTAGCTTAACATCATGATTGTAATCAAGCTTTTCATGCTTGAATCTTTCAATTGAAATAATCTGTATTTGTAAAAGAAATACAATGTATATTTTAATATTAAATCAATTACAAGTAAAGTGATTTGTAGATTTATAAAATGTTATACAGCTAAAAAGTAATCCTGCGCCCCACTCAAAAGAAACATCACACGAATAGAATCCTACTCACTAAACATCCGTAGTCTTATTCCGCTGATGTTGCGCGAACGCAACACTTGCTTTTTCCACACGTAAGAGCATTTTTTTTTTTTTTTTTTTTTTTCCAATGCAAATTTATGTTATAAATGTTTAATTTAATATTTGTTATTATTTTCATGAGAAAAGAAACATTCCTTGTAGTTTTGGCGGTTAATGAAAAATTCGTTTGTTGCAAACTATGAAATGATAATAAAACAATTTCTAAATTAGAACTTAGGGTTTCCAGAAGATGCCCATATTTGGTGGAGGATTATGTTATTCAAAATTTGATGGTTCTATGTACTGTTCTTTTATGACAAAGTGAGAAGCATACATACATTTATTCAGATTCTTTATTATTTAATTTCTTTAAATATAACATAGAGCGATAATATTTGGTATGAAAAATTTGAAAAGTGAAACAGACATTTAAAGTTTTCGATGCAAAAAGAAAAAAAAAAAAAAAAATTAATAGCCCTTTGGGCTAAAAACAAACAGTTATTCGGAGATGATTCAGCACCGCTCACCTAATGCGCATGTGCTACTCGTAAACATTCTCCTCTGTCGAAGACATACTGGCGACATTATTTACTGCGAATATGAAATGCTTATTTCCACAAATTTCATCAGAGATATATTTCTCATTCAATTAAGTCTGTTCTCAGTTCGCGACAAGGCAAAATACATAAAACCTCAAAATATCTTCATCAAAAATTGAAAAATATACCAAAAAAAAAAAAAAAAAATAATAATAAATAAAACACCAAATACGGTTAAAAACAATTAAAAAATTACAATTAAAATTAGAGATTCTACGCAAAAACAAACAATTCGGCCAGTGGGCAAGAAGGCAGATTCTTCAGTGTACAAAACCGAAAGTTTACTTTTGGTCCCTCTCGGTAAAAAAACACTGAAGATACAAAACTGACTTATTTCACTATTTAACCAAGTTTCAAATGTAAACAAATCTTGCTGCTAAGTTATGCTTAGTCGCACTTAAACTACTTTTAAATTATTAATAATTCTGCAACTATTGCATGCAGATAAATAAAAGGTGTAAAAATCTTAACCAAATTATAAGAACAACATAATTCAATCATTTTTAAAGCAAAAAATGCACAATTTACCAACCTATAAGAATAAAAAAACTGAGCTCACGGAGCCGAGTAACAAAGTATATATATATATATATACACACACACACACTTTTGGTGCGGCCGATTGCAACCAAAAAGGGAGGTGCACAAGTACATATTATGTCCTATATACAAATATTCAATGTTCTGAGGCTAAAAGTTTTTGAGTTATGCAAGATACGTACATATGCATGTACGTACAGTGATTTAGGTTTCGTTTGGTTTATGTGACCATGGCAAAACCTTGAGGGCTATCTGCCTAAGAGGAAGATTGCCTTTATGTAGGACTTTTTAAAGGAGGCTGGAGGTATATAAATTACACATGGAGAAAACCACGAAAACGCCCATGCAGCGAATCGCAGGATTCGAGCCTCGGACCGCACTACCAGTGTTCAGTGAAATTAGTGCTCGGCTGCTAGTAGGCCAAGCATGACTTAGGATATATAGGATTTACATATAACGTTCTTCTACGATATGTATT